GAAAAATGTATACAGAGATTCTTGACAGTCGGTTTAGGTACTACCACTAACAACAAAAGGCAAAGGTGCAGAGTATGTGAATATTTTCTCACAAGCATGCCACAAGTTGACAGCTTCACTAAAGTTATAACTAATTCGAGATGAATACCTATTTGTTTATATTTTGCTTGACCTTTAAACATTGCTCAATAGGCAAAGATACAACTAATTAAAAGAATCCTTTCATATACCTTCACTATTTTTTTGATTAAAATTTAGAAAATTCTATTTAGTTAGCGTAATTTAAAACGATTATTTTATTTCGACCTCGGTTAGTCTGCGCGCGTTTCCCGGTCGGCTCACCTCGTGTCTTCAATGATTCTGCCTCCTCCTCAAATTCAGACCCTCATTGGACTGTTGCGGAATGGAGCGCGGTTAGATGGGAGATCGTTATTTGAATACAGGGAAATAAGTTTTGCATTTCCACAAGGAACGACAAATGAGAACGGTGGGTCTTGCATAGTGAAATTGGGAGCCAATTCAGTCCTTGCACGTGTATCTTGTGAGGTAATGGAACCCAAACCGTTCAGGCCCTCTCAAGGAATGCTCTTTGTAAATTTCGACGCCAGTACCTTGGTGCATCTGGAAGGTTATTTCCATTTATAAATTAATATAGTTGATAATTGATTCAAATATACGTCTAATTCATTTTTATTCAGTCTTTTAGTCGGATCACAAAATATTGTAATCACCAAATACTTATAATACTATTTGACGTGTTAATCCATGTTGGTCTTCTGCAACAACAATACGCTTCGATAATTTTTAGGAGACATATTAGCATGTGTGACTGCCTACAAAATAATTAGGCTCCCCTCCTTACCCTGCCTGATAGAACCATCTTGTCATTAATAAGTCACCTTACTAACTTTACCACATAACTATAAATATGCTATGCATAAATTGCTACTCTTACTTTATTAGAGCATATGAATGTACTAAATATTTCTCTCTCACGAATCCTTTTTGACCGCTTGTTTGCGAGTTTTATACATTCTTATTAAAAATCCTTAGTATCTACTTTGGTTACATAACCCAACAATTTATTACATAATTAAAACTATATTCGCTATCGGCTTTTATTCTTTAGCACAACCACCTTAGTCAAATCGCTATCCATTTGCCAATTTTCATTTTTTTTAAATTTTTCCTTCATCACCTTTCCTGAGTTATTTTCTGTCTTTGCTATGCTTACATTTGTCTAACCCTAGGTTTAATGGCAGAGTAAGCCTTTTAGATAATCTATTTATTAATTTTCCAAATATGCGATGACTGCTATTTATTTTAGATTCTTGTCGAACGTCTATTTTATTTTGATAATTTTATATTCAGACAGTCGTTCAACCTCCAAAGTCGTTCGAGCAGCAGAAGAAGAAGGCAGGCGGTTAAGTGCAATACTGCAGATTATTCTTCGTGACACAATTGATCTAGATGCTCTTTGTATAGTGGCCTGGGAGAGAGTTTTTGCAATACGGCTCGAGCTACGTGCCCTTTCCTTTGATGGTAATCTTGGGGACTGTGGCGCCCTTGCCTCCATCATGGCACTCTCAACATATAAGCGACCAGATGTTGTCGTAACCGACGAGGGCAAGGTCAGTCAAGCATTTTCTACGATTTTATTCAGGCTATTTTATTTTTTTATTCCATTATTATAATATCGAATCGTTATTTCCATTAAACCTGGATTATAACTTTTTTATAATGTTTACCGTAATTTAAAAGGCCTCATTTCTTTCCCGGTTATAATCTTGTCACTTATGAATAGATGAATAATCATGTCGTTAGCCACCTAGTATTTTTTTTACATTCTTGGTGGTTAATTTAATGTTCCTCTCTTAGACATTTATGGTGAGATTATCTCAATAAAGCGCTTATATAATGTCTTGGGTTCAATTAAAATATAGAGCCGAGTTCGTATCTAGTAACACCACTGGGTTGATATGGCATCCGGAATTTTCTGACAGTTTCAATTCAATGCTTCTTTGTTTTTCAGGTCATTGTTGACTGGTGCG